GCAGTGGTCAAAATAGCAAAGAAGAAAGTGGCAAATGGCAGGAGGACTGAACAAAGCCCTGCAAGATAAAAGTGGTCCATTAATCTTGAACTGAGCTGTATAGGAGCCAGAGTTTATGAATTAACAAAAGACGAGGATGAGAAAAATGGGTTTTTAAATTTTTGACTGGAACTGCTTTGTTTCCTTAAAGTACTGACCAGATTTGTGTGATTTTAATGCTTTCTGTCACTACTTGTGTTAAAATAGATGCATAATGACTATTCTGGTCCCGATAAGAAGCGATCAAAGAAGTAAAAAGATAAATGATCCTTTTTTTATAGTTTCCTAATTTGACACAGTATCTCTGGACAAAGGGTTTTTTAATGTATTATTTTTATTATTATTTTGGCATTACCTCAAGTGGGAATCTAATTTTGTGCAGCCGGTGTGATATTCAGTTACACAGAGGACTGAGTGGAAAAGATGAAAATGAAGAGCTTATATCAGGGGTGGGTAAGGAGGGATGTGTTAGGGCTGGGGATTTCAATCCCCACGAGGTTCTAATCTTGTTTGGGTCTATGAGCAGAAGCTCGGTTCAAACTGAAAGACTCTCCCACCTCTGAATACTGAGGAAAGCAGACTAGTGTCTTTCTCCTGGTCTACAGAGATGTTCCTCTGTTTTATAGACTGTTTGTCACGGAGGGGAGTGGGCTGCTTTCTATGACTAATCCAGCTATAAACAGCTCTTCTGACATACCTTATTCGGCTCTGCTTTGTTGCTGCTCCATCAAAATAAAGCTGTAATAAATCAATATGTGTGAATTTTCAGTTTTTTTACATAAAAATTACAATATAATACACCTATTTCCTATCGAAATGCTGCTATAAAGTGAACAGCATGCAAGAGGCGTTTACAAGCATAAGGAGAATATATATCTTTTATTATCTTTTATGTTTGTCATCTGTGGTAAATGGTGCTGCAGTAATTTTTCTTCAGAGCTCTGCCTTTCAGTGCGTATTTGGAAAGAAATAAAAAAAAACACACACACAGGTTTCAGCAGCATTCACCAGCCACTGTGCAGGGTAACTGTGTGGGAGGAAAAATGAAAGGCAGAAATCTAAATGTGTCTGACACAGCGTCCACCAAGCCTCGGTGGATCCCTCTGAGAACTCTGGGTAGACTGGCTGCAGGTATTCGAAACACATTTCTGAGGTGCTAGGAGCATTAAAAATAAATATTACAGAAATCAAGCCAGAGGCGGCAAGCAGCACATTAACGTAATGGCAGTTGGCTTGAAAAATTCCCTCATAATGTTCTCGTTCCCATTGTATTTTTACCGATTGATGCTTAAAAACACGAGTCACATGCCATGAAAGACTGAAACATAAAGTCAGCCATCTATATGAGAAATGTCATGAACTGTAGTGATGTTAAAAAAAAAAGGGAGCTTTATATGCTTTTGCCTGCAAGGGGCAATCTCCCTCAGCTGTGCTGCTCCTTGACTCTCAGTGGGACCACAAGAATAACAGCTAATCAAAGCCTCTTGCTCTGACGGCTGCTGAGAGGAAGAGAAATACCGCCTGCCTTCTGGCACCTTCATCTGAAAAGTGAAGGACTTCAGTGTTAAAGGGGGAGAGAAGTCCCCTAAAGCCCATTAATCGAACACAACAATTAAAGCTTTTAATTTCTGCAAGATAAGGCCTGCATTAGCTTGCTATCTCTTTCAGTGTGTTCAGAAAATAAAGGGCCTATGTGAGCCTTGGTGACATTTAAAGCAATTTCCCCACTTTATTCCACCCGTATCTGAATGTCATCAAGCTGTTTATTTAATGAAACACATTTAGGTTGACTTTCCTTCTGACAGGTTCAGTTTTTGTTGTACTTCAAGCAATCTTATCAGCCTCTGTGGCTGATTATTGAGTTTGTTAAATAATTATCTTCTTCACAGGAACCTGCTTAACATTCAGATAGGTCACATTCACAGCAATGAGACACTATTAGAGTCTATTAGTGCAATCCGTAACATGCACTGCAAATTGGGTTCACGGTTGAGGCATATCAGCAGTCTGAGCCAGATTTGATAATCAAGCATTAACTAATATGTTTTATTTCATGGCATAAACACCCACCACCTGCACAGGAAATCTTTATAGAACAGACGCTTCCGAATCATCAACTCGTTTTCTTTAAAAGCTGCCTGTGCAACTTTACGTTGACAGAGCAAAGCATCAGAGTAGCATCAAAATAAAATACAACTCTTTTTTTTTTTACACCTGTGATGTGGCTCTTTACTCAGGGAGTCATAGTTTCAGAGAGTGGCATCAATTTGCTGCTAATGATACACAGTGTATACCCACCACAGTGAGAAAATATTCTGAGCTAATTTACAATTAGATTGCAAATTATTGCAGTCTGTAGGTTGCTTTTTTTTTTTTTGCAATTAGTCTATCAACTAATTGAAAATTCTATAAACCAACAGTCATTGTAAAAAAGTGCGGACTGCCAACCAGGAACACTGGGACATTTCCCTGCTGCCTAGCTGCTGCTTCAACCTGCTTGATGGTTGCAGATCAGGTTTGTGTCACACTTGTTTTTTTTTTTGCAATTAGTCAATCAACTAATTGAAAATTCTATAAACCAACAGTCATTGTAAAAAAGTGCGGACTGCCAACCAGGAACACTAGGACATTTCCCTGCTGCCTAGCTGCTGCTTCAACCTGCCCAATGGTTGCAGATCAGGTTTGTGTCACACTTGTTTTTTTTTTTGCAATTAGTCAATCAACTAATTGAAAATTCTATAAACCAACAGTCATTGTAAAAAAGTGCGGACTGC